CTTTTCACCTTGGTGGAATTATCCAAGCTGACTTTGGACCCAGGAACATGATAATGCACTCTGAAAATTATAAAGGTTTGTTACAGGGTTTTTACTCACAAAAGATGTTAGTAGCAAATGGCCTGAGAAACAAACCCTCCATCCGAACAATGCTCTGGTCACACATTAGTGCTGATATGGCAATTTTTGTCAAGTAAAAACATTTTGCTGTGTCTTTATCCATGTTATTCACTGGATATGACACTGTGGGACATCTGACTCCTCTCCAAAATCAAAAAGACCCTCTGTTATTGCCATTTAAAAAATTATTAGCACATGTTTGCTAATAATTTTATTAGCACACATATACATTTTTGAACCCATTCAGGACATTGGGGGGGCCACGACAGCACAACTAAAGATTCACGAAAGAGGACTTCCAGAACTGCTTCAGAAATTAGCAAGAATGATGGAGTGTGTTCAGTGTGAGGGAGAATGTTTTGAGGGGGGTTTGTGGCAATGTGTCTTTCATTACAATAATTTTTAAAAATTTAGACATTCACTATATTTTTATTACCTCTCATGTGTAGACAAATGATGACAGAGTCATATACCACTAACTGGAATTAATTCAATTCTGTGTTCCTAGCGGTCAATTTAAAATAAAAATGTAAACATGCAAGTGGAAAGAAAAATGAATACCCAAATATCATGGTCTGTGTCTAGATGATGTCCCCCCCCCCCAAAGCCTCATGCAGCTTTAGATAGGCCTTTTTCAGAGGTGGCTGAATCTAGAGTGTATGACTGGTGGTGCAATGCAGACATTAAGGGTGCTGGGATTAAGGGTGGGTGATTCATGAATCAGTTCACTGATTGGATGGGCACCATCCTAACCCCAGCAGCCTGGATACAGTATAAAAGGGGCAAAAAAACACTGATAAGGTTTTGTTGTTGATCGTTCTGACTTCTGCTTGCCATGAACTGTTTTCCTCTGTGAAGTTACTCTGCCCAGGAACCTCTACAAACTATGTGCTAAATAAATCTCTCCTCCTTTAACTTTGGGTGTCCAATATTTTGTCTCAGCAATGATAAATGTAACTAAAGCAACAGATGAGACATACTAATACTTATATATAAAATACATGTAATATTAGATATATATGCCAAAATTATCTTTTGTTTTTCAGTGGGAAAAAATGTTAAAATAATCTTCAGTGAAACAGAAAACCAATGCTGGAGAATAATGGGCCAACAAAAAGGAAACATTTAATTATTGCTGAATTGAAGAAAAGATAACCCTTTGATGCTATGGCAGACACAAACATTATGATAACTGACCCTTTTAGAATTAAATAAGTTAATCCTACTCTGTCCTTTATTACAGGAGAAGTTTAGGCTTTTCATACCATATAATTTTTAAAACTTTTACAATTATATTGTCAGTGGTGCCCAGAAACAAAATTAGGTTCTTGCACAAAAATCAAATCTTACCAATCTTGAAAATGTAAAAGTAAAATTTCAAATAAGCAAAGACTGGTGATGGAAGAAGATAAAAGGAAGAGAAAAAAGAAGTTAGTGGTATAGGAATTCTCAAATTTCATAATATTAATATAACCAAGAGAAAAAAGAAAGAAAGAAAGATAGGTAGGACAGAAAGAAAGAAAGAAAGAAAGAAAGAAAGAAAGAAAGAAAGAAAGAAAGAAAGAAAGAAAGAAAGGTAGAAAGAAAGAAAAGAAAGAAAGCTGTAATAGCCCAAACCAGAGACAAGTAGTGTGGAAAAATTTCCCATAATAGTATAAATAAAAGGTAGCATCAATTATCAGTTGGACATTTTATATAAATGAAACATTGTTGTAATGATATTATTTGATTTGGAGTTGTGAAAAAATACAGATCAAAAAGTGTAAAATTACAAGAGCTATCTTTTGGGAGTAGGAGCGTGGATAGAAACACTTGCAGGTCAGAGGACTGTGGTTCATTATAAGCCCTCCTATGCCTGGTAATATTTTTCCTAGTTGAATGGACCACTTTTATGTGAATAAATGAATAAATAAGTAAATATTGAGAGACCAAAATACAATTCCTTGTGCTAAACATTCATCATTCACATAACTAGCTCTATTTTCCATCCTCCACTCAATGTGCCAAACCCTCTATCAGGGTAGGATAACCCTTACCATGATGTGTAATGACACACATTTTTCATTGCATTGGGAGAAAAAGCTTAAGTAAATCTCAGAGCTGAAGTTGCAGAAAGTTCTTTCGAGAGCTTGTAATACATTTTATAATCATCACTAGGAGTGAGCTGAGTTGTCAGTGTTGTAACAGAAGGAGCAGAAAGAGTCCACTGAGTGTCCCTGGAATCATTCAAGCTGATTTACAGCCAGAGCCCAAGTGAAATTGGGTCCCACGGAAGGCCAGCTGCTCAGCCCTGTCAGTGGCACCGCCCCTTAATCTGAACACACCCAGAGATGCCACAAAGCTATGGTCTGAGGCCGTTCAGCGAAGCTTGCAGTGACTCCCCTAGGGTTTCTGTCCATCCCATTCCTGGTTACCTTTCCACCTAACATGCTTAGTTTGTCCTTTTCTTTTTTTTTTTTCCCTTCAGACTTTAAAATAAAGAAAATCTTGGAAGACAAGACACTGTTCCCGTCTTCGTGTAGGACGAGGCAAACCTGTCCCCACTGGGGATGACTGATGTGCTCTCCAGTCATTGGATGGTTTGCTGCAGGGCTCTCAATGAGCAGGTATCATCATGCCGAAGGGTGGAAGTGGGTGCCTTTCCTCCTGAAGTTGAAGGAGGAGGAATGGAAAGCTCCAGTCATTTCTTCCTGTGGCTCATTTTGTCTTTCTTTCAAAAGTACTCCCAGTGCACAGTGGCCCAGGAACATGAAAACTCCAAATCACACCCTTCTAAAGTTAGCAGGTGAACAAGTATTCTGTGTTTTGGAGAACTGTACTAAAGGGATGATTGATGTTCCAGTTCTGATTTCCTTCTGTATTCTTTACTGACTCACCACATACTCCTGTGTCCTAAACTCTCTCTAGCTTTCCTTTATCAGAGCTGAAGGAATCTCACGTTTCACATTTTCAAAGCTACTCAAGGAAAGATGAGGAATTAATTTCACAGCTAGGCTTCCTAAAAAGAAAGGTTCTGTAAGGAATCCTTGCCAATCTCATGATAAAAATTGTTTATAGGCTTGGAGTGCTTAACATGCTGTAAAACAATGGTGCAATATGATCACTGTCATGATCAAATAACCACGACATCTAACTTGACAGTTGCTGACTTAGGGCTGGGACTTCAGAATTAATGCTCAGCTCATAGGATTCACTAAAACTTCATTCTTCTATAGGAAGCAAACTTGCAAAAATTTAAGGAAACCAGATTTGTGAACAGCAGACTTGTGTGCTCAGTCACAAAATTATGCTATCAAAGTAATTGCTCTGAATGATGCAGGCATTTTGAAGCACCTGCATGAATGGGGGGTAAGGGTGTGTGGGAGCATGTGTGCATGTATGTGTGCATGTGTGTGTTTGATGTGCACTTGTTCACAAACACACTACTCCCACTGGCCTATGTGCTATTCCCTGTACACACCACACACCCTCTTGGCTGGGGACTGATTTTATTTGCTTTTGCTCCGCCTGCAATGCTTTCTCAGAGGCAGTGACATAGGTCACCTTTTCTGTAAGTTTATGCATTCTTCCAACCACAATCATTTTATTACTGGGGCACCTCATTTGAAATTTCAACCCCAACACTTCATGCCTTTCTTCCTTGCTTCATTTTTCTTGTTGTATGACTTCTTATTTTTTCTCTTGCTTAACACCAATGTGGCTTGCACATCAAGATATGCAAAAAATATATTTTGAAAGAATGAATGGATTTAAAAATGGTATAGGAGACATCACCTTGGTATATGGATACAACTTTTAAAATATCAGTTTTCAAGTATAAACATGTATTTTTTTCACATTTCAGTAAAGCTATGTGGTCTTTTCAAAATCTAAAAGCTATCAAGCAATTCCTCAACTTTCGATCCATCCAGTTGCTAACATCTCACTGCCTAGTCTGTCTTTGTCCAGTGACTAGTTGACATTTCCTATTTTAAATGAGAACTACCTTGACAAACAGGGGTTTTCAAAGCCAAAAAGAAAAAAGAAAACCACAAAGACAAAAGTTGGCCCTGGTACAACATGAAGAGAACTTACTGTAAGAAATCACAGAAGCAAATAGAAGGACACATTTGGGAGGCACAGCCAGCAGGCCTCTCTGAGGGAGAAAGGATTGGGCTCTGCAAGGATCTCCTTACTTCCCTTGTCAGATGGGATGGTTCTGCCAGGGGTCCACCTCTCTGCACTCAAAAGGTGATCGTTTCCAGGACAGTCACTTGGATACATGGTGATTTCTCAGTCATCTGAGACATTCTCCAGCAAATGCGTCCTAAGAAGATGTCTACAGTGGAGGTATGATTTCAAGAGATGACTCTGCCTGAATGATTTCTTGGCGGGATTTTTTTCCATCTCTTCTAATTCTCTGAAGTCTAGATTTTTATGAGTATTGAATAATAAAAGTATTTTAGATGTCTCTAGTAGCTGAGCTTGAGTCCTAGACAAAAGACCTCTAAGACTGAAATATAAATATAGCAGAATTCGGGATGACATCATGCTGCATGGCCACCAGAAGTGACCACAAATAACCTACAATAACCTTTAAAATTAGTTTTTTCCTGACTCCATAAAACAATATTTTATTTGGCAGGCACATATTGGCAAGTGCTTTCAAGAGCTCTATTTGTTTTCTGTATCCAGGAAGACACAACCGCTGTTTTCACATAGGTTTCCTTCTACGCTGTGGTTTTGCCATTTTCTGCATCTTTATGAGTAACTGCTGCAGAATATTTTTCTTCAGGACATTTATTAAGAGCAACAAGGATATGAATGAAAAACCATCCTTATAACAATACAGGGTGGGTTACTCCTTCCATATGTAATGCTGACCAAATCCAAAGACAGAAGTGGAATATATCAACAGCGATATGGCTTCTTTATTCTGAGGTTACATAATAGCATGCAGATGGATAAAAATACATTATAGTACATTGAAGGAAATCAGTCCATATGACTTTTGATGGGTTAATTAACCCAAGGTCAGAAAGAGAATGGAACATCATAATATAAACTTTAAAAAGGTATAACATTATTCTAGCCAAATTGAAGGGTATCAGAGTTGGAAAACATTATTTCAAAGTTATCACATACGTTACTCAATGGTTTTAGCTTTTATAACATGGTTCCCTTATACAATAAAAGCAATTTATTTTCTTCTCAATGCTAACTTATTATAAACTTCTTTCTGAATCTGATGAGATTCACATCACACATGCTTCCAAACTCTTCTTACACTATTTCCTAGAAGACAAGGATGAGTAATTGTAAAATCTCCCCAAATATAATAAAAACAAAATAAAAACATCCCAAATCAACAGCCCTTCTAGACTAAGTCACTATATTTCACTTTTTTCTTTTGGTTCCTATTAATCTCACACAGGCAAAAGAGGAAGGTTCCAATAATTAACCTTTTGCTGTTGACCTAACCAAAATTAACTGGCTATGCAACAATTTAGTTCTCCATATAAAAACAGGAAGAGAGATTTCCCCAAGTAACCCTTATTCACCATGAGAAAAACAGCTGGTGCTCTCTCTTTCCATGTAGCCTGTGGGGCACGGATGAAAGGATGTATATTTCTGATATCCTCTCTTGTAAATGGGTGTTTTTTTTTTCAGTGGAACTATGCCAGCACTCAGTTCCTCAGAGGCAGGGGCGCAAGAAAGTCTGGTCCAAATATTTAGAATTATATCTTCATACGATGAGGCCTGTGAAAATGAACAAATTTTCCTTACCAGTGTTATAGGAATAATCACTGCAAAATAATGGAAACCCATACCTTTCCCTCTGAAGGAAGGAGGAAAAGATTAATGAGAAACACTGCCTTCCAACGACAAAAATCAAAGTTTTAGTACCAGACTTCTTTTGTGTCCCTGTTTTCCAGTAGTTCTGCTACATTTCCCACAGTACACTGCTGGGATTTTTTATTTTTTATTTTCGCTACGCATGCTCACACATCTGTTGCACATGTGTGATCAACCGACTAGGTTTTTGAGCCAAATGTCCTGTTAAATGGACAGAATGGGCAGAGCATTCCTTTGAGAGTTAGACTCTGCCTCTGGTGGATTGCCGCCAAATGCGATGGTGTAATAAAGAAAAGAAATCTGCTCATTTGAATTGCATTGAAATGAACTGTGTCCTCTCCTAAAATACCATATGGTAATGATCCCTGGAGGTATGGTGCATAACACCTAGGTCTGGCAGGCTCCAGTGGAAGGCTGTAAATGTCCCTGTGTAGGCAGGCTGTGAAAGGCAAGATAGTTGACAAGAAGCATGCAGGGGGAAACAAGAATCCTATCTGATGTCCTTCAATCAACTCAAAATGAAAGAAAGTAGACTGAACAAAGAAATCCCAGCAAGTCCTCTTAGAGAAATCCTTCTTCTCTCATTAAAAAGCAGTTCTTGGATCTCACCTCCAGTAAAGTGAAACCGTATGGGAAGAAAGCCGTTTCACCTGAGCAGTAGCCAGAGTTTCTTTGCAGCAAATCATCTCAATAAGACTCAAGTGTACGTCTGCAAAGCAAAATGCGGTCTTCATCATTAAACCTCCACCAGAGCCCAAAGCAGATGGACCAAGTAACTGGAGACACTCAGAGTCCTGCCTCTGCTTCAGCGAGCGCTCTGCTCTCAGTGAACCTGATCCCACCGCAGGTAGTAGCTGGTGACCCGCAGGCTGTGCTATGGGGTCTCCCAAGGGAGACACAGACACACACACACACACAGAGACACACACACACACACTCACCGCAGTTCTCTTTTGATGCAGAGAATTTCAGGTAATAGTAGAGAATTGCTAGTGAGGTATTCATGCCTGAGTGCCAAACAACAGAAAAGAGTCATACCTAGGGCAGAAATCTGGAATGTAGGCTTTAACTACGATAAAATCCCCCAGGCTATTACTAGTCATAAAATTTTCATTTATATCAGCAGTATAATTCTGATCCTTTTATCTTTCTTGCAAAGAACAAACTATCCACTCATTTGGTCTAATATCAAAACATATTGCACAGAAATAAAATGAGAAATTACCTCAAGACAAAAAGTTATTCTTTCCGGTATTTTTCCTGCTCTAATAATTTGATCTTAATGGTGTATATCTGTAAATGAGGTGCAAGAATCTATAAATCTACTCTCTCTCTTTTTCCCCTATAAGCTTTGACAACTAAATAAAAGTCTATTCATATGCCAGAATATAAATTATGGACTTATATGATGATTGTTCTTAAGTTTCCTAAAACTTTAATTTCATTTTTCATATCAAATGACATTGTGTTTTGATTTCTATAATTTCTTTATGATAATTTTAAAGAAACTCAGTTATCATTACTTATAAAAATAAATATTATAGAATGGAAAAATGGTAGCTAGTATATATTAAGTATTTTTGTCTTATATCAGTTATACTAAGTTATTTAATCTGGACTGTCATCTAACTAGAAGTACTACCCCCATTTATGGATGAGGAAACTGTGATTTATCAGAATATTATGCTTTGCCCAAATTCAAAAGTAAGCAATATACGTTAGATGGAATCCCACCTTGTTTTTTGACAGCCAAACATTCTCAAATGTTTTATGCTGTCATGCTAGAAGTATTTTTATTTTCTTTTTATTTTCTTTCTCTTTATTTCCAGACTCTGGAATTTCTACTTCAGACATATCTTTCCTGTATCCTAAGACCATCAAAGAGAATATATTTACTTCAGTAATTGTATAGTTGTTTTAAAGAAGCATTGTGTGGCTAAATATTTTCTTTAAGTTTAAAGATGTCCCATTACTAAAGTGGTAATCTATTATCTCTCCATTCTGCTACAATTAATATTATTGTGAAAAACTAACTCTTCTTCAGCTCTTTTTTAACCCTGACAGAAGTAAAATATTTCATGTCACTGCAGAAACCATTTTCTTCATTTTCTAAACCAATGCATTTGGCAAAAAGTAGAGCAATGAATAAAATAAATGGGAATAAACTTTGTATTAAATTATTTTGAAGGAATCAAATGGTCTTCATACCTACAGTCTCTTTTCTTTGTATTTTTACTTGAGGACCTATATGATGGTTGGGGTTACAAAAATGGCTTTTGGAACTTGTGTAGTAGGAAGCAAGTATTTCTTCTGATTCCATACTTCAGGATAATGCTCATAATATCAACACAGATGTTTCTTTTTTTCATTAACTATAATATCTTCAAACTTGATGCGGAAACGCCAAATAAATGTCAGCCACACTTTGTTGCTGATAAAGAGGACACCGGATTCTGTAGCAATACTTAAAGTCATATATTGCAAGCCTGCTTATTATTTCAACACAGTGGAGTACAAAGAACACAGAAGAGCCCAAAGTGTGTGGGAAGAATATTTATCTTCTTTTCACAGATCGGAAAGCTGATGCAGAGAGATTGCATTATATTTATGAGGTCAATGAAAATATCAGCGAAATTCTTATGAGCCAAATCTGCATTCCACAAAATGTCTAAAAATAAATTAAACTTCCAAATGAATATGTAACTTAGATTTTAAAACATCTTATAAAATTAATGCATTCATATATTCCTGCCTTTTATTTCAGCCCTAATTTAGACTGCCACATGTGTCACTCAATTCACAGGTAATCCCCATACAGGCTGTCAATTGATCTTAGAGCACACAGTCCCCAAAAAGTCACATACGCTGCACACACGTATGTTTTAAGGTTACAAAGTGTGTATCACCCAAATGCACAGTACAGTCCGTATGAAGTAAACCTGAAAGGAATAAATTTCCTTTTAGATGGGAACAAAATTGCAGAAATCAATTCTAATGATTTTCTGATTACTTTAAGGATGCTATTAATTGTCCTGAGTGGAAAATTTGGGTGTAACTCTATTCTTCTGTAAGCATTAAGAACTGTAATGATTCAAACACATACTTGATGTATTCTTTTGGACATGTGAACAATTCCTACAGCTATGGTTAGATGTGCTTTAGTGAAAAAGGAATCTTGACTCCTTAGCCTTTACAAGACTTTAAAAAGCTTTGGATTAGGCACATAATGTGGTCTGATAACATTCTTGACAATTCTTAAATGGAAATTTCAGGTGGGAATTAAATTTAAGAAACTAACATTTATAGCATCATACAAACACACACACACACACACACGCACACACACATACACACATACCATGGCAGGGGAGAGGAGCGGAGGGGAGGGGAGAGTCAAGGAAGGAGAAAATAAGCCAAAAAGAAGGATTTTGCAGATCAATCTCAAATAGATGCCTGAGAGAATTACTGGTCCAAGCATATTTTTTCACCGTCATGCAGTGTACACAGGTATATGAAAATCCTCACATATGAACAGGAATTTGAGCTCAGCAACATTTCTACCTACTTTCCCTTCCTCTCTCCTCCACAAATCCATTTACTTCCTAATCTGCCAAATCAAATGCTAAATCAGGAGCAATAGCCTACAATTAGGTTTTTCAATTAAAATGCAGAGTTCAAAGTTTACTTCAGAGTGAGTAATTGCTTTTGAAAACCACAACCAGCAGGCAGCTGCCAGATCATTACAACAGTTTATTTAACCTCAAACATCTGATCAATTTTATTATCTCCACAGAAGAGAGATATCCGGGAGAGTAGCATTTTAAATATACTACACATCCTACATGTCCGAGAGAAAGCTGAAATTCTTCAACACCATAAATATCCTTTTGCCATCACCTTGCTGAGAAAACAAACTCACGTTACATTTTCTTCATTCAAAACTCAACAGAAATTAAGAACATCGTGACATTCAGCCAGGGTGGGAGTGTAGGGGACCAGCCAGGAAAAGACAATTTACAAAATTACAAGGTTTAAAAACATTCAAACATCTGGCTCATGATGCTTGGGGGTTTTATTCACCCTCATAGGAGACTCAGAGAAGGCTGCCAATCTCACCAAAACAGAGTATCCCATTCTGAGAGCTCTGCCACTAACCTGGCAACCTCATTATTCTGAAATTCATTCTGTGGCTACAGTAACGGGGTAGATGGAGACCTTTTTGTTACCTAAGTGGACCAAGAGAACCCCTGCTTCTCCTGAATGCCACCTCCACAGGAGTCTCCCAACTCTGTCTTCCTGATTCTGCCATCCACCTCCTGCCAGGCCTTCCCGCAGATGCTTGGATTTGACCCGGAAGTCTTGGAAGCATACTGGAACCCAAAACATTAAATGGGCTGTGTTCGGTACCTCATCCGCTCCCCCTCAAAGAGGCTACATTGGCTAAGCACATAGGCTCTTCAGCTTAAACTGGGTTTAAGCCCAGTTCTAACAGAAACTTTTGTGTGGCCCGTTTTCTTCAACCTTAACCCTTACGGCTTCATTTTGGAGACTGACTGATGATCTTGTGAAAAGTACTCAGAATAATGCCAGGTACATTTTAAAGTGCGATAAAGTTTTACCAGTTGGCGTTTATCGTTGACTCCAGATGCAGTCTATGGTAGTTCCCCTTGGCTCTGCGCCTCACCGGTGGGACAGTTCTACCCACTGTCAGGCTGGGCTCCCACCCTTGGAGTCGGGTACTGCAAACAGCCTGGAAGGAAAGTGCAAGTGGCCAGCAGCCCGGTGGTTCCTGTGTCCTTGCTTGGAGGTCAAGTTATAAGAAATTTATAATAGCACCGTATATCTCTCATCTTTTTATAAATTTAACCACTTTGGAAAACGAATCAGTGGACCCAGAATAAAAGTAACTCCCAACTACAGCTATCTCTAAAATATACCATCACGCACTGCCACACAAGTCACAAGTGTAGTGAGATACCAATTCCAATCAGTGTACTTGAGGAATATTATTCTTTATTTCATTACCCTTTAATTCTCTTTCATGGCTATTCCCCATTCAATTCACTTTCCCTTCTTTAACCATGCTATTGTATCTGACAGCTTTAACTTTCTATAAAGCTCTGTGTAATGTGAAGTATCTTGTGTATATTTTCATGTAAAATGCATTGGCTTATAAACTAGTAATTAACAAAGATTAAAATTGTGATTCATTCTGCTTATTATTTTTCTTTAAAAAACTCTCACAATATATTCATAAGATTTCACCTACATCTAGTTTGGCACTTTTAATTACTATACAATAACCCAGTGTGTATGCTATTAAATTTTTACCTAATCACTCAATGCTTGTCATTCAGTTAATAAAAATATTAATATTTAATAGATAATTTCATGTTTACCAACTTGGTTCACAGTGACTCTGGTAAAATAGTGAGGGAATTACATTTTTCCTCCAATCTTTTGCATAAAAGTACATTACCTGAATAATTACAAATGATTACAAAGGGAGACATTTGAAGATAATTATAAATGGAGACAAATGATTCTTTCACTTTCTGGTATAGGTTCACTCTAGCAAATAGCTTTTTTTTTTTTTTACTCCCGTGGCAGCTAACATATTTTGTCGATAAAAATAAATGTGTTTCAGAGACCCTGAGCAACATAAAAAACTGGCATTCTCAAACCTTTGAGGCAAACTATGAATAAAAAGTAACTAATAACAAACCAGCCATGTTTTCAGTATCCATAGGATTTTATTTATTAAAAATATAGGAAACGTACCAAATTCCAAAGTTATTTATACAAATTTCTGTATTGCAGCCCTATTTGATGTAGTGGAAATGATTTAAATATCTTTCAATATAAGATTGGGGTCTAAATAAAGTATGGCGTTTTATGTAACCACAACAAATGAAGAAATTTTGTGAACACCGACAAAGAAACATCTTAAAAACACATTGTTAGTAAAAAAAGACAAGTGACTGAAGAGTAATTTTTCATATGTCCCCTCATTTGTTAAAAAAATGAAAGTACACATGCACACTAATGTAATGTATACAGGAGAGCACATGCTAGAAAATATCTGGACAGATTTAAAGCACACAGAGGAACAGCACAGTCTAGGGAAAGGAGAAAAATATTTACCTTTTAATTTTTGTCCTTCGGTGCAACACATACATTTTGGTTGGTAATAATCACTGTGCATTACTGCACATTGAGCTTTTCTAACATAAATAGAATTGAAATGCAAAGGAATAAGTCTTACTTTCAAGGTGGGTGGAGATAGGGTTGTACTTATCAGTGGAGAAGTCCCGACCTAATTATATCATTCAGTGGAAGAACGCAGACATAGGAAAGGAAGTGAAAAGAAGATCAGGAGACAATCAGCACCAATCCCCAAGTCACTTACTAAACAGTAGGGTAAAATCCAGGCCATGTCGCTGTTTGCACACTGCCACATCCCTTGCAGAGGTGTGTGTGTGTGTGTGTGTGTGTTGTAAGGGGGAAAAAAAGAAAATTATTTCTATTTAAATAAAAAAAATTTTAGTGAACTTGGAGGACTCCAGAAAAATTTGTTTATAGCCCTTGATACTAACAGCGGGTAAGTAAAGAAGAAAATGAGTTAGAAATGGCTTTTCAACAGTTAAGATGTCACAATATTAAGTTTTTTCACTAAAAGTGAATTTTCCATAAACAGACATGTGCTTCTTTTTCCTTGATGAAAATTATGTAAATTCAAATTTAAATTTTTACCAGAGAGAAACCTAATATTTGAATCTTTCATATTTCATTTGAATTTTTTTAAAAGCCGTTTTATTGTTCTGTTTCAAAATAGATGAAATAAATCATTGATAATTTTTCTTCAATTATTCCAACACAAGGAAATTTAATCCAAAACTGAACTTGAAAATTTACGGTGGAATTTGAGCACATTTTAAATTATTTACCGAAACTAAGAAAAACATATGAAATGTGAATGAAAATATGAAGAAAAGAATTCAGACTATCCCTCCTGCAACGAGTATTTCTATCCTTGAGAATTAGCTATTTTTATTTTTTCCTAATGTAGGTAGCAGTTTTTTTTAATCGCGAAAATTAAACATTCAGCTTTGCTTTGATATAACAAAAAAGAATAACCTAGTGAAATGCCGTGGTCTATCTTAAAAGCTTGGAAAAGCTGAGTCCCAGAAGGGTAAACAAACAGATGTATTCATTGCATTAACAGCAAATGAAAGAGCAGATTTACCAAAACGTGGTGAAGACACTACCGCCCAAGAGTCTCACATTGTTAGGGCCAAACAATTGCTCTGGATTGCGTGTCCACAAGATTTTAGGTTGTGAACATTTCACTTGCAAAAGTAAAAATATTAATTAATGTATTGCTATAATTGACATAACATGTTCATTCTTCCTAGCATCACTTTTTCAGCTTATAAGAATATTCAATAAGATTTGAATGGGAAAAAAATATTGGGGAAAGTACTATAAAAAGAAATTCTAGGTATTTCCCCTTGAATCTTGCTTTCCTGATCAGTTTAAGCAAAGCAGCAAAGAAATATTTATGATGTTCTACTCCCTCTAGTGGACAATTTTTTAATGGCCCCTACCTCAGCAAAGTGCTCATGTTCCTGAGTGAAAATGTCTTCAGCAGTTTCAGTGAGGCTGAAACTTCGAAATCAGTCATTCTCTCCCTCACGAAAGCTGAAGTCTCTATCTGAGGATAACTATAGTTAGGAGGTTATGTTTATACCAAATCCAAATCCAAATTCTACTCTTCATAACATACACTTCTTATTACAGATAAGTTTATTACTCAGTCAGCCCGAAATAGTAGAAAAAAAGCTACAAAAAATGGCTTTTACCCCAGTAGCTCACCTGAGATATTGGTAATTACAAATGCCTCCTCAGTATTTTATAGCCATGATGAGGAGGAGGCCAAGGAGAGAAAACAAAGAGACCGAGAATAACAGCTGCCTTTGTTGCAGCACTAACAGAAACAGACCCTAAGTCTGATTCTCGGGGCCCCAAGAAGAACCTGTTGACTATGTTCATCTGCTACTGCTGTCAAAAGCCAGGCCACCTCAAGAGAGACTGCCCTAAGAACCCCCCTGGGCCATGCCCTGACTGTAAAGGTGACCACTAGAGATTGGACTGACCTCTGAAGCGAAGGCCCCAGAGCTCAGACCCCTCCTACCAGCTGGTCCAACAGGAATGAAGGAGCCCAGGGCATACTCTGCCTTCCCCCTCTGGCCAGACCATTATCTTCAAGGAGGAGCCCCACATAATCATGACTATAGGGGAAAAAGTAAACGGACTATTGCTGGACACTGGTGCTGATCTCTAGGTCTTTCTTTTCAATCCTGGCCTTCCTTCCTGCCGTTACACCTCAGTGAGGGGAGTCACTAATGAGAAGGTAATCTGCTATTTTTCACAACCCTTGGGCTGTAACTACTTGTTAGATCTTTCTTGCATGTCTTTGTTTTCCTGAGAAACCACTGTGAAGATACCAACATGTATTACAGCAGCTATTGATAATTTCCTACCAATCTGTCCATAACTCTGTAATGTTTCTCTTGTTCTTATGCTGTTTTATAAGTGGATGTATGTTTATTCTATGTGTTTTCAACAACAACCATTGAGAATAGTCAATGATTATTTAATTGATCACTCATATATATCTGTATTTGTTTTCCCTAGAAACCACTTCGAAGAAACCAAAGTATAGGACAACAACCATTGATAATTTCCTACCATTTTTGTCTGTAACTCACTATGATTTGTCTGTTTGTTTTCCTGAGAAACTATCTTGAAGATACCAACAGGTAAAATAACAACCATTGATAATGTCCTACCACTTTGTCTGTAATTCAGTGAATCCCCCTATTGCTATGTTGTCCTTCTTTTACTCTTTTAAATAAATAAATATATATATATACACACTTCTTGGACCCTTGAAGACCCTGGGAGGAATTTTCTCCCTTCCCACCCAACCTATTCTTCCGTGTACTTAGGCACCATCTCTGTATAATAATAGCCACGGGGGAAGTGAAAAACAATAGCACTAAAAAGCAGATGGGTTAGGTACAAGTTCCAGCTCCCCAGGAGGAATGTAATAATCGTGTACCGCAAAGGTGAGCTAACAAAAAATTGAAATTGAAGAAAAATAGACTGTTGCAGCCAGGGGAAACACAATAAGAATATTTCAAAAATCTATGAAATTACAATGGTAAAGTGGTTCTCTTCTTGGCATTATATATGGCCCACCGCATCCGAAAGTAATTCAAACAGATAAATATGCCTGAAAAGTGTTTATTCCTCTGCATTTTGAGAAATAGTTCTCTCTGTGTCAAGTTGCATAACCTCTATTAAATGGAAGAACTGTGCAACTTATTGTTTTTGCTAGGCCGCAGAGGGAGAGAAACACTTTGTGGAGCCTAAATGACTTTCTAAAAATTCACAAAAATACAATTATGTATACAGAGTAGCAGGGTTTAGTAGAACTGTGACTTGCCAGATGCTCACATTTATCTTTCTTACTAAAAAGGGTTTATGCCTGGGATGCAGCTCAGCGGTACAAGTGCTTGCCTGGCAAGCACAAGGTCCTGAGTTTGATTCCAGGTACAAAAAAAATGAAAATAAAAAGGGGTTATGTTGGAGTGTGCTGTGGTGTACCTGTGTAGCTCAGAAAGCATGCATTG